GCACAGCCAGTATGTGGCATATATTAGGCACTTAAATGTTTATTGACTGACTGATTTCTCACTTTTTTAGTTTTACCCTCACTAGTCATAAAATTTATACATGCAAGTTAAAAGGGATACACTTCATGCGTCTGCCTTGAAATTCCCAACAAGGTCCTCAATCTTTTTGGTATCCTTGAAATTATGTTTCTTTCTAATCACACTTCTCTAGTTTTGAATAAATAGGAGATCTTTCTTTGCCTCTTTAGAACATTAAACTGTTCCCATACAAGCAAGGCATTATTTCTATATTGTTAACAAAGAGATCCGAATCCTCAGATCTCTATCGCAGATCATTTTCTTGTCCAAACTGTCCAAAATCCCATCTGAAAGCTGTGTGTCTTCATACTCATTTTTGAGCAGGATACATTAAAGTTCTTTTTCTATTAATATTAGATAACAAAATGTTTGTACAAAACAGGGGCAATATCCCACGCTCTTTGACAATATATATCTCATCCTTTACACAAAAGCATTTGTCATGCCATTTTCATCATTAACTTCTCCTTGTGAAAACAGCCTTCAAGAGACAGCGTAACTTACATTTCCAGACTGAATTAGCAAATTTGGCATTTTTTTGTAGTGGCAGAAAGGCTTTCAAGGTGATAAGAAGAAGATGATGTTCTTCTGGCCGAATACATCTTTGATCAAAGCCCCTCTTTCCTTATCTTGTTACAAATCTGGAGCCCAGTATTCATAAGCAGGATCAACACCGAACAGTCTGTTGAAACTGATTATGGTGCTCACCTGTAATTAGACCTAATGGATGTAATCTCTAGTCTGGCTGACTTCTCTGGCAGGATATTTATGGCAGGAAGTATCTGGCCAGGAGCTTTGCCTGCCAGCTGAGACTTTGAATTTAGGTTTGACAAGGGCTTCAAACGACTGAGGAGGAATAATTCTGCTGTCAGCAAGCATAGGGAACAACATTTTTAGAAGAAAATCTGTTCCCTTGGTGTGTTTATTTATAACTTAGGCCTGGAGCTTTGTACATAAGATGCTTCCAGATGGTAGCAGATGCTGCCTTCAGGAACATGGTTGTCTGAAACAGATTTCAGGAAGGACTCAGAATGCTGAAGTCCCTTCTGGGACAACAGCACCCTGCTTCTGACTCTTTGAACCACCAGTTTAAGAAACAGTGGAGTACGGCACGTACCATGTATGACCAGTGTAAAGGGCATGACCAGTATGCTTTGGTCCCATAGGGTAAATGCCCTGAAAAGCTAGCTAAAGTGGTGACTGAGAGGGCAAGGAATATAAATAGACCACAGACACAGGAATGTCTGGGGCAGCTAGGTGGCGCAGTGGATAGACCACTTGACCTGGAGTTAGGAAGGTCTGAGTTCAAATCCAGGCTCAAACATTTATTAGCTGTGTGACTCTGGGCAAGTCACTTAACCCCTATTTGCCTCAGTTCCTCATTTGTAAAATGGGGGCACACTAGAGAAGGACATGGCAACCCACTCCAGTTTCTTTGCCAAGAAAACTATGTCTAAAAGGTCATGAAGAGTCAGACACAACTGAACAACATAGGAATGTCCAGGCACATCTCTTGAACTGAGGTTAGATCTAGGTGGTTCAGTGGATGGAATACTGGCCCTAGTGTCAGAAAGACTTGAGTTCAAATCCAGTACCAGACACTCACCAGCCATGTGACCTTGGGCAAGTTGGTTAAGTTTCCTCAACTGTAAAATGGGGATAACAATAGCATTTACATCCCAGGCTTGCTATAAAGATTAAATGAGGCAATAATTGTAAAGCATTTAGCACGGTGCCTAGAACATAGTAAGTGTTATATAAATGCTAGCTATTATTAGCTGCTATTACTTCTACTTTTAGAGGCAGCTGGTGGCCTCAGTGGATAGAACACTGGGCCTGGAGTCAGGAAGACCTGAGTTCAAATCCAGTCTCAGACACTTCCTAGCTGTGTGATTCTGGGCAAGTCACTTAAACTCTATTTGCTTTAATCCAATGGAGAAGAAAATGGCAAACCACTACAATATCTATCCCAAGAAAACCCCCACTTACAGCTATGGTCCATGGGGTCATGAAGAGTCAGACATAACTGAACAACTACTACTATTGTTGTTGTTGCAGGCTCATGAAACCATTGATGGTCACATCTGGAAAATTCAATTCAACATTTGTTAATCACTTACTATGTGTCAGACACTGTACTATGTGCTGGGGATACAAGGCCCAAAAGAAATAGCCCTTGCTCTCAAGTAATGGACTTTCTACTAAGAGGATGTGGCATGTAAACAGATAAGAAAATCCAAGATAATTTGGAGGAAAAGAACTCTAATAACTGACTAATGGAGAAAGGCTTTGCAGAGGGGCTGAGCTAGGCCTTGAAGGAAGTTTGGGATTCTAAAAGGAAAAGGTGAGAAGGAAATCCATTCTAGACTCGAGGGAAGGCTTGGAGCAGGTCAAGTTTGGGTGACAGCTAGTAGTTTGGTTGTAACAAAGAGTGTGTAAATGAGGTGGGGAAATGAGGCCATAAAGGTAGCTAGGAACCAGACTGTGGAAGAATTTAAATGCAAGACTAAGAAGTGTATATTTTTACCCTGGAGATTATAGAGAGCTGTCAATAAAAAATTTGAGCAGAGGAATAATGTGACCAGACCTGTGTCTTAGGAATAGTAAAGGGACAGCTAGGCGGCGCAAAGGATAGAACACCAGCCCTGGATTCAGGAGGACCTGAGTTCAAATCTGGTCTCTGATACATAACACTAACTGTGTGACCCTGGGCAAGTCACTTAACCCCATTGCCTAGCCCCAAAAAAAAAGAAAAGCGACAATTGTGTGAAAGACAATTTGAAGAGTGAAGAAGGTGAAATCAGGAAATTATTAGTAAACTATTGAGATAGTTGAGACAAGAGGTGATGAGGGCCTGAACCAGGATGGGATAATAGGATTATAGACCTAGTAAGTGTCTGAGGCCGAATTTGAACTCAGGCCTGACCCTGAGAACGTAGTAAGTATTATATAAATGCTAGCTATTATTAGCTTCCTAGCTGTGTGACTCTGGGCAAGTCACTTAAACTCTGTTTAAGAGTAGCAAGGGGCCTAAGAGGTCATCTAAGCCAACCTTTTCATTTTCTTATTGAGGACCAGGAAAGGTAAATAACTTGCCCAAGGTCACACAGGTAAAGTTTTTTTTTTTTTTTTGAGGCAATTGGGGTTAAGCAACTTGCCCAGGGTCACACAGCTAGTAAGTGTCAGAGGCTGGATTTGAATCAGGTCCTCCTGACTCCAGGGCCAGTGCTCTATGCACTGTATGCCCTTGCTGCCCCACACAGGTAAAGTATTAATGCAAGATTTGAACCCAGGTTCTCTGACTCTAGAGCCAGTGCTCTTTCCATGGTGACTTGCTTTCACTTTAGAGGTCACTGGAATGGTAAATGGGGACAGCTTGGAGGGATTTCCTAGTGGTAGAGGCAACAGCATTTAGCAACTAATTAGAATCACAGAATTGGAAGGAACCTCAGCAATCATTTAGTCCAATTCATGCCTTAAAAGGAACTACTCCTTAGATATACCCAACAGGTGGTCATCCAGCCTTTGCTTAAATACCTTCAGTGAGGGAGAATCCACTATCTACCTCCTAAGGTGTTTCATTTTACTTTTGGAAAACAGTAATTACCAGGAATTTTTTTTCCTGCTATCAGACCTAAATTTTCCAATCTGTAAGTTTCATTCCCTTGCTCTTAGTTCTTTATATGAGGCCAAGCAGACTAAGTCTAATCCCTCTTCCAGAGGACAGCTTTTCAAATACCTGAAGGTAGCTATCATGTCCCCCTGGGTAATGCAACGGATAGAGGGTCAGGCCTGAGTTCAAATTCGGCCTCAGATGCTTACTAGCTGTGTGGCCCTGGGCAAGTCACTTATCTCTGCCTCAGTTTCCTCATCTGTAAAATGAGCTAGAGAAGGAGATGACAAACCACTCCAGTATCTTTGCCAAGAAAATCTCAAATAGAGTCACAAAGAGTCAGACGTGACTAAAACAACTGAACAACAACCTTACCTTCTTCAGGTTAAACATCCAGTTTCTTAAACTTATCCTAACATTATATAAACTTGCATACATACACATATATGTGTATGTATGTGTGTATATGTAATAGATATACATATACACTCTATATGTACTCTCTGTATATGTATATGTATATATGTATGTGTGTGTGTATATATATATATATATATACACACACGTGCACTACACACACACACTCTCTCTCTCTCTCTCCCTCTTTCCCTCTCTCTCCCTCTCCCTCTTCCCCCCCCCCTTTCCTACCAGAATATAAGCTCCTTTTGGGGAAAGTGCTTCACATCCACAGTGCATATATAGCACAGTATCCACATAATAGGTGCTTAATAAATGTTTGTTGATTGATTGATCCTCATTAAAAACCCTGGGAAGTAGGTACCAGGATCATTATTTTCACTTTGCAGATGAAGAAACTGAGGTTTATTAAGGGTAAATGATTTGCCTGTGATCACAAATCTGGCGGGTTGGGGTTTGAACTCAGGTACTATCTCCACGTACAGCCCACTATCCATTATTCCATATATTCCCCTCTGTGTGTTTAGGAGCAGAGTCGTCTCCAGTGGTTAAACAGTCTCTTTTCATTTTTCCTTAACTCCATTCCCATCTTGATGCTTTCCTTGGGCTCCCACTTGACTAATCACCTCTTCCATGCTGGTATTAATCCTTGTTCCCTTGTGATAAAGTCCTCAAGTTCAGTCCAGTTAATTCTAAACTGAGATGATTGCTAAGGGGAGTAGACTGCTTATAGCTTCTCAGGGCCTAGGATATACTCCTCTCCACTAACCTCTTCCCCCAAATAGATTGATCTAGAGACTCCCAGAGGCCTGGGTCTCTGGAAGTAATAGCTCAGTTTGGGGGCAGCGGTTGACCTCCCTGCTCTCTTCACCCCACCTATTTCTTCTTACAGGTAGACCCCTATCTGCCCTACGAATACACCTGTGAAGGGATGCTTGAGAGGATCTATGCCTACATCCAGCATCAGGTCAGTCCCCAATCTCCTCCTCCCCCACTAAGGCCTTCTCCTGGACAATGTTAGATTAATTGCTTCTTCACTCTCTGCTCCCCAACCAACCCATCCTTATCACACATGGGAGGAAATTGGAACAAAATATAAATTAAATGGTGGAGAGACCTCTTAGTCTTTGAAGGCCATCTGTCTTCTGATTCTTTTTAGACTAACCAGTCTTCACAAGACAAACTAATTTGGGGATAGGGATGGAGGTTAACAGGAAATTTAGGTAATTTCAGAGCTAGATGAACCTAAGATCTAGCATCATCTAGTACAATTGCCTCTTTTTTCAGATGAAGAAATTGAAGTGCTGAGAGGGGAAGTAATCTGCCCAAACTTAGTGACAGAGTCAGGACTACATATACCCTGGGTCTCCTGACTCTCAATCCAGAATTCTTTCCATTATACCATACAATCAGTGGTACACTCATAAACATTTAACAACCACCTTTTTTGAGAGGGAAAAACATGTGCTCAAAATACCTTTTTTTATATTTAATCTGCATTATTAACATTTTCTCCATAATTTTTTAAAGTCTAGAGTCTAGACAATCAACAAAACAACAAATCAAACCCTCATTTGTGGCATTTGCTGATTTCTGAGATGCAAATGCTCACACTGAAAATTTAACAGCATGTTTGAGCAGGCTCTAGTACACCCCTGCAAGCTTTCCATCATCATCATTAAAAAGCATTTACCAAGCTCCTAAATGCTTCTAGACCTGTACCAGTTCATAGACGAAGAAAACTGTCCATCTATCTCCTGCTCTGTAGGACCTCACAATCTAAGACAAGTGTAGTGGCAAGCATATTTGTCCAAGGTATATTACTGACAGAATGTTTCTATAAACATTCAGCAAGTCATGCTGAAATCACAGTGCATGATCTACAAAAGTACCTTTCTGGGGTGAGGATAGAGAGCAGAGACCCATAAATCCTATAGGAAGTATGCTTTCCTTTCCGTCATTCAGGCTGTGACCTCTCCCAACCTCTGACTCTTTCCCTTTCTGAAAAAGAAACCAAGGGAAACATCTAAATATTAAGAACAAACAGGTACATGAGGGAGGCAAGGAGTCCAGGGAGAGAAAGAAATTGTTGTTGCAAGTCAAAGGAGGGTATCCTCTTTAGCCCCAAGTTCCCCAAGCAGAGCTCAGTGGTGCCCCAAGGATGCGAGGGGAGTAGGGGATAGAGCACAATTAATAGAGCTTTAAAAAACGAGCCAAGAAGATTGAAAAAAGGAAGAGGGGAAAAAAAGAGACAGAATAGAAGAAACTGGAGTAAAAGAAGGTCATAGAGGTAGGAAGGTGAAGGCACAATAGAACATTCGACAGGTCAATCGGTCACCAAGTATTTATTAAGCGCTTAATATATGCCAAACACTGAGTTAGAGACTTCAGCTACAAAGAAAGGATCAGAGACTACTGTAGCTAGAAGGAGCCTTAAAAGGGGAAGGGGGAAGGGAACAGGCATTTACATAGCACCCACTAAGTGACAGGCACCATGCTAAATGCTTTTTTTCTTTAAACAAATATTTCATTTGACCCTTACAGCAACCCCTTGAGGTAGGTGTTATTAACCCTTAAAGGCCATCTACTTAAGTTTCTAGTCTTGTTTTACAGAGGAGGAAACCTAGGGCTAGAGAGATTGTGACTTACCCTAAGTCACGTAACTGGAAGCAGAATAGGGATTTGACCCCAACCCTTTTGATTCCAAATTTAGTGTTGTTTCTATGCATCATGCTGCTCAGGGCCAGTTGTGATTATGCTGTTCCCTTTCAAGAGGAAACGAAAGGAATACTCTTGGTGGTATCTTTGCCCAGCTCTGCCCTATAACTTCATCACTACCCATTTCCCTTTCCTAATTCTAATTTCCTCCTGGCAGGATTTCTGTGCAACCACAGAAACCTCCCCACTGGTGGTTCCACCCCAACCTGCTCGAGCGCCCACTGCCCTGGCACCCAATGCCACACACCTGGTTTGGCCCCACAATGCCAGCCAGGGCTCGGAAGCCTGGCCTCCCATGCACTCACTTCAGGGCTGGCTGGCAGAGACCGGGAGGACCTGCACAGATACCTGCTTGGACAGGGGCCTCATATGTGAGCCCTCCTTCTTCCACTTCATCAACACCCTGGATGCTTTCCTGAAGTGAGTGTCTGTGCATTCCTCCTTCACTCCAGTGCCTCTAGACAGAAAGGAAAACCCGACCCCCCCAAAAATTATAGTATTGTAATCCCCTCATTTTAGAGCTGAGGAAACTGAGGCCCAGAGAGATGAAGTGATTTGTCTAAGGTTACATAAATAAGTGGCAAAACCAAATCTGAAAATCCTTTCTCTTGACTCCTGGTCCACGCTCTTTCCATCATGCCATCCTTCCTCCCTTGCCTACCTCTATTCCCTAAAGGTGTACAGGAAGCCTCTAAGTTTCAACATTCCTAATCTAAGATGATTTTTCTGCCTCTTCTGACACTTCCCAAGAAGGCTGGTACCCAAGTCCTAAACATCTTGGATGTTTGGTTTCCATATTCCTAGCACTTAGAACCCAGGCTAAAAGCACATCTTTCCAGGGTTTCTGGATATTTAAAAAATTTTTTTAAATCACAGGGGACTTCAGAGAAACTCATCTAAAAAGTTGCAACCCCTGAGTAATCCTCTACCTCACCTGCATTTGGCCTAAGCCTAAGGTCACCCTGGCCATATCTTGATTTAAGAACCCTCTCCTCACTTCTACTCAAACCTTCTCTCAGAGCACATTCCCCTGACCAGCCTTGGGTGGGAAGCCAAATGGTAAAATAAGGTTTGGTTATGACTAGATCGTGCCTTCCTACACATATCTCTTCCAGAGGAGAGGATGGGAAAAAGAGTAGAATAAGCAATCTGTATTCTATCCTGCTCCCCCAGGAGCCACTCTGATGGAAGTAAAGGAGGAAGGGAAAGAGAGGGGTGGGGGAAGGAATCTGTTGGTAACCCTGGGCTCATAGGGAGCCAAGTTGGTGGTGTGTGGGAGGGTAACTTCATTAGACCTGCTAGAATTGGGGGAAGCTGGGTGGCCAGGTGTCTGTGTGCTCCTCTCCCTCCCCACAGGTTGAATGTCAGTTGTGATCGAACTGAGTCAGAAATGAATCATCTGTACCCGGCCTTTGCCCAGCCAGGTCAAGAGTGCTACCTGCAGAAAGAGCCAATACTCTATAGCTGTGCTGGCTCCAACACCAAATACCGCCGGCTCTGCCCATGCCGAGACTTCCAGAAGGGACAAGTGGCCCTCTGCCAGGACTGCTTGTGATGTCTTCGAGTTGAGCCGGGGGTAGGGGCTGCTGATAGCCTCCTTTGTACCAACCTTCCTCTATCTATATCCTCCTCTTCATCTCCATCTCCTGTCTCCCACCTTCACTGAGAACTGTTGAGATATGCTGGCTACCCTGCCCCATTACCAGGAGAAAGCACCAGCAGTTTTGGTTCTCCATGGCCCACCCTCCCTGAATCCAGACTGGAACATTCCTAGTGGTGGAAATGGGTCCTTCTCCAAGGCAGGAAAATGGTAATAGTGGAGTACCAAGCCTCCCTGGAGGGAAGGGGAAAAGGACTAGTCTTGTTCCTTCAGTCTCCGTTCTAGGCTCATGATTCTGACTGCTGAAAGGCCTAGACACCAGGGGATTTAGCTAAGAAGAGGAGAGATGGGTTAGAAGGCACCTAAGGAAAAGCAGCCTGAATCTAGGGGCCCCCATAAGCTTCATCTTCTATGTCCTGTCAAACCAGATGTAGACCAAGAGAGGGAAAATTTTAGACATCTTGGGCCCAGGGCAAGAGCCATTAATGTGTAAATGAGTGGGAACAGAGAGCAGGGAAGGAAGCTAGTTTGAAGGTCCCTACAGAGAGGTCAAGGGAAAGGGCTTTGTCACCCTCCCTGACCTCAATGCATGAGACACATGAGCAAATTGAACCTTAATGCTGGTTGCCTTTGGGCAACCTCCTTTATTTATGAGATTTGCATGATCATTCTGGGCCCTGGTCCTCTGCAAGGCATGGCCAGGGTGGGAGAGTTAGATGGGGGGGGGCCTGGTAGTCTTTGGTGCTGCCTCTGATCTCTTGCCTTCCTTCTTCATGGCTCTTCATTTAACAGCCAAAGTAGCTGAACAGCTCTCAGGGCCCCAGCACAACCCACCTTCAAGTAGCAGGGGCCAGCATTGGGGGTGTGAGGACTGTTACTCAAGCCTTGGGAGCTGATCTTTCTACCCTGTAATTCCAAATTCCTTCTTTTGGGCCTGGGCTTGAATTCTATTTATTTTTCCTGACCCAGAGGCAGTAAGTTTAGTTCTAAATAAAAAATAAAACAGCCTAGGCCCATGGTGCAAAGTCAGTGACCCTGCCATGCAGGGGCCAGGACAGGTAAAATGGATGGGATAAACTCTCTGCCTTCCAGGCAAATCCCTAGGATTTCCAAGTCATTCTGACGACAGAATTTCTGAAGGCTCAGGCCACTGTAGCTTCCTTCCCTCTGCCCCTTATCTTCATTTAAGAGAAACGCAGTTTTCCTGAAACTACTCTATGGCCCTCTTTAAAAAAAAAAGCCTTACCCTGAGGGTAAAGTTCAGAGCTCACTTCTGGGTGCTTGCCTACACAGAGGTTGAATATGGGCATCTGGAGCCAGCTGCACAAGCACATTGCAAACTTTAAAGTACCACATGACTATTAGTTATTATTATTATTGTTATTATTATTACAGACCCTGGATAAATTTACCCTCCCACTCCAAAGGGGCAACCCCCTTGCCCTAACAGAAACTGTCCCTCCTGCCTCCAGATTTCCCAAGCCTCTGGTCAGCTCTTAAGATTAATCCACTCCTATGCAGCATGTCCTCAGCCCCAATCCCTGGGGACTCCCTGTCCTAACTCTCCCTTTCACTCTCATTTCTTTGACCTTACAAATAGACTAGCCAGGCCCAGAGCCTTCCTGGCTTGGAAAGATCTGGGTACCCAGGTACACTGCCACACCTCCCTTCCCCTTACTGATTATCTGCCCCTCCGAGGGCTACCTGCTGTCCTGAAATGCAACCCCAAGCACCACCACCCCTTTACCCCTTCCCTTAAAAATTAGGGTGGGGGGAAAATATTACTGAAGGGTAGGGCAGCATTCCAGGATCTGGTTTTAGGTTCCCTGACCAAGAAGGCACCCCCATTCTGACTGAGTGGGTCCCAGCCTGCTCAAAAGCAGGAACCAGGGGACCAGTTAGAAAGACTTTGGGGCTAGAAACGACAGCAAGGGCCTGATTCCTGATTCTGGGGGGTGGGGGGAGCAATAGAGAAACTCTTTTATTCTCTTTCTTTTTCTTCCTTTCCTCCCTCTCTTCTGTCTTCAGCTCTCCCTTCCTTTCCTTCCTTTCTCCCTCCCTGCCTTCCTCTCTTTGTAAAGGATTTATTTCTTGAAATAATAAATATTTTGTTGGGATGTCAGAAAGTAGGGGCTATTTTTCTCGGTCTTTTCTGGGTTGTGGGATGGGGTGTGGGGGAGGCTCTGAATGCCCAGGGAGAGGAATCAAAGATCTGGAACCTAAAAGAAGAAGCATTTCATAAATGTTTTATAGTCTGTCCAGACCTGGAAAGGCCCTTAGAAATTCCAGCCTTTACAGATGAGGAAACTGAGACCTGAAGAGCTGTGACTTGCTCAAGGTCACACATAGAGTTAGTAGCAGAGCTAGATTTAGGAAAGCCATCTTCTACAGGAAGCCTTTCCCCACTCTCTCAATTCTAAAGGTCAAGAATGTCTGAAGTAATGATTTTATAAAGTAGAAAAGAAAGTTGCTCAGCAGTACCAGATTTCAAACTACACTACAGAGAGGTAATCAATAAAATTATTTGTTACCTGTCACACAAGGGAGTCCAGATGAAAAGTGTCGTTCCACACAGAGTTGGTTTTAACAAATATTATTGCTACCCACAAAGGAAGGAGGAAAACAGCTGCCAAAAAGGACACGCTCAATGTGTCAGCACATGGTGGGGAGGGGTGGGGGGCAGAGCAAAGGTCTACTCTGAGCTCAAACTTATATCTCATTTAAGACAAAGAGCCAATATGATACCAATAAGAAATTATTCTCTTATCTATAGGACCTATAAAATAAAAGGATTTTCCAAATTACCCAATAAAGAGGGAAGGATAGGGAACAGGGAACTAGGAATGAAAACAGGGAAGTAGGAAACTTAACCTTAATGGTACCATTCTAGAAAGAGGGTGAAGTGGGGGATGGGGGCCATACTAGTCAAACCAATTTTCACTAGTCAACAGTACTGTTTAAAAATAGAAGAAAAAAAAATCAAAGAGCCAGATTAGAAACAGAAGACTGAGAAGCAAATGAACACAGTAGCATAATCCAAAGTACCCAACTATTGGAAAAGCATTCCACAAAAACTGTTGGAAAGTTGGAAAGTAGTCTGGCAGAAATTAAGCTTAGAACATCTTATACTATATACAATACACAATAAGTGCTAAATGGTTACATGATCCAGGTATAAAAGCTAACTACATAAATAAACTAAAGGAGCAGCTATGTACTTGAGAAGAGTTCTTAACCAAAGAAGAAACTGACAGGATCATAAGCAATAAAATAGACTGTTTTGATTATATAAAACTGAAAAGTTTCTGCACAAAATTAACATATTCAGTGCCATACCAATCAAACTAACAAAGGGTTAATTTATAGAAATAAAAAAGAATAACAAAATTCATCTAGAGGATCAAAAATATCAAGAGCAATAAAGTGAGAAATAAATAAAATGGGGGGAAAGTGGGAAATAAAGTTCATAAAATTAGAAGAGAACAATTTTTGTTAAAGTCTGATATTCTGGGGGCAGGTAGGTGGCACAGTGGATAGAGCACTGGCCCTGGAGTCAGGTGTACCTGAGTTCAAATTTGATCTCAGACCAGACACTTTACACTTATTGCGTGACCCCTGGCAAGTCACTTAAACCCACTGCCTAGCAAAAACAAACCAAAAAAAAGTCTGATCTCCAAGATATAAAGAGAAGTGATTCTAATATATATAAATAGAAGCTATTTCCCAACAGACAAATGGCTGAAAAAATATAAGCAGATCTTAAAAGAAGAAAAGCAAGCTATCAATACCCATGTAAAAAATGCCCCAAATCACTAATAACAGAAATACAAATTAAGACAACTCTGAAGATCTACCTCAGAGCCACCAGATTGGTAACTATGACAAAAACAGAAAATGGTGGCAGTGGGAGACAAGGTGGGAGAATATACACTGATACACACTAATGACTAAGTATTTACATTTTAATAGGGGAGAAGAGATAACTGTGCCTTGAGAATTGTAATGACATCAGTAGTCACAAATATATTTAAATAAAACAAACATAGGATCTAGATGTGATTTTTGTCCTATGTTCTTGGTTTTAGGAGAGGAAGCAAAAGGGAGGGAAAAAGATATACTATAGAAGAAATGAAAAATAACAGAAATTTATTATTTCCCAAAGAAGGGATCTATGAGAAGAGTTCTCCATCTCCTCTTTGGAGACTTAAAATCATGTAACCTTATTCTTAACTGAACTGGATAAAGGAAGACTGAACATGCACACATACACACACACACACACACACACACACAGAATTACCCATAGAGATTTTGATGGAGAAATACCAAATTAAATTCAACAGGAATAGAGGTAGTGACAAGGAAAGGGAAGGGAAGAGAAGACTAAAAGGAAGCTAATAGTTACAACCAAAATGGACCACTTTTGGAAGGTTGATCTTTAGATGTTTTTTAAATTATTAATTAATGAATATCAAAAACAAAAAAAAGAACACTTCCATATACAAAGTAGAACAGATAAAGAAAATTATTTGAGAAACAATGAATCTGTATTACATACAGTTTGCTTCTCTGTTCTGTGCATTTTAAAAAAATTTTCAGTGATTCAGTGATTTATTTCTTTTCTTCTTCTTTTTGGCAACACTGTCACTAGCTCCTCCTTATCCCTCCCCCCACCCAAAATGCATCCCCCAAATAACAAGGGGAAAACACAGTTCTTGTAACAAATAAGCATAATCAAACAAAACAAATTCTCACATTTCCATGTCCAAAAATTTGTCTATCACCTCTCTGTCAGGAGGTGAGTAGAATGCTTCATCCATCATCGGTTTGCTGAAGTCCTATTTGATCTTCGAGTTGATCAGAGTTCTTAAGTCTTTCCAACTTGTTTTTCATTACAATGTTGTTGTTACTTCATTGATTTTTTTCCTGGTTCTGCTCACTTTATTCTGTATCAT